CCTTACTCTTTAGGAATGACACATTCTGGAGGTGTTTTTCCTCTGCACTTTAGGATCCGCTTAGCATATCTCTGATTCGTCCTTTACGTCAGCCAATTGGCAGATGGGAATTTTGCAATCCCGGATTATCATATTCAGAAACAGACTACTTCCACATGAACGCTGTTTTTGTTTCGGTTCCGGCTACACAGCAGATAATAAGGGTGAGTGTAGGGTGTGCGATGGTTGTGCAATGGGTGTGCATGTTCATCCCCTCTCTAAGAGGCTCGCATAGCATTCTTAAGGGTGTGCAGGCTCTCCTTACTATCAGGTGGGTGCATGTAAGGGGGTACGCATTAGACCTTTCAACTGAAAGTCTGGAGTCATCCTCAACCCCCTTTGCCCACCCCTGACGGAAGGATGACCTCCTCGGGCTAATCCTCCCCAGAGGGGGTGCTCCGGGTCAACTACAAAACAGGGTTGGATTAAGGTCTCAGGAACCCCGAGGCAGAACACACACCACCCTTGGTCCAATCTTGCGAAGGAGAGGAGTAACCGAAGATGAAACCTCTTTATCTCGTTTTGCATCATATTCAGTGGCTTGGTTTAACCGAGGTACCCCTAAGCTGTATTGTCCGCCTATCCAGTAATATGAGAAGCATGTTATCCTAAACTAAAATCCTTCCTGTCCTTTCGCTTTCATTAGGTAAAGCAGTTGGCTATTCGCGTAGAGGTAAAGTTACCATTACCGATGTAAGATGGCACCTCAGTCGCCAATCCGGTAGGTCGCCTGTAAAGAAACTAAGCCACGCCTCTGGGATTTCTTACATACAGTATCTGATTTTTTTCCTAATTACACCAAAGCGGAATACATTGGAATCCCACGATATTATTATCTAAAGATGAAAGTCAACCCTGGGAGACGTCTGGCAATACTGGTTCTAAGGAAGGAAGAAGAGAGATTTAGGTCTCAAGACATCCCACGACAATATATGAAATTAGTTCGGCAGTGAGTTCTTGTTGAAGAAATCATTTCGTTAACCCTGCCTTATTAATGTCTGTCTCCGTGTGAAGAGAAGAGAAAAACTCAACCAGATAGGATAGCCTTCCAGGCATGCAGGGGAATACTAGGAAAGGGGAAAATATAAAAGGGTCTCATCACTCTAATGGCCATACACATTTAGGAAAATTAATAAAGGTTCAACTAGGTTGTTATGGAACTCTTGTCCGGTATCACCAACATTAATTCTGGAAACGAACCAGACATACATAATTAGGATTGCAATTACAGTCAACTGTCGAAATAGATCAATATGTGTTCTCTATAGGGGAAGGATTGCGTTACTCATGAAGGGTGAGAATGAATCTCCAAAGGGTGCGTATGGAATAACAGGAGTAAGAATGGAGGGTGACCTTAAATGGATTTTCCGAGGGAATGTACTCTGTACATATCGCCTGGGGTGATGCCGAAGGGCGTGTCTTGCCTTTGTTGATGAAAATTTGATATTAACTTGAAAAGAGGGTGAGGCATTTGCACCGGAGGATGGCCATGCAACCACCAAGGGTGCTGGACACCGCGGTGAGCATTCTCACCTCTAGAGTGGCTGTCCGGTGACAAAGTATGCACACTCTTAATGGTGCGGGATCTTACCTTTTATTATTTGCTGGGTAGTTTCAGCCTTCCGTTCCTTTCCCTCTCAGATGAACTGGTTTCTCGCAGCTTGTAAATCAACATCATAACGATAGACCTATTCATCTTATCCTTAACAAGATAATTCTTGCAAAATTCGGCCTCAACCTACCCCATCCCCAGGACAGCATTTTCATGAGCAGTCGGAGAAGCTCTGATCCAAGATAAGTGCGCTCCACGCGTACCAGTTACTCCTCTGTCGATACGTTTCCTCACGCAAATATAATGTTTGAGTTGCCTTCGCATTTACGTTGCTGTGCTAAAACGGCAATAGAAAAATAAATAATTTTAGGGCGTTTACAGGATATGTAGAAGCCGTTAAGAAAAAAAAGCGATCGCTCGGTATGAATTGCCTTCCATCTGGCGAAAACGACAGGGGAAAGCGGGAACTTCCGTCAATCGTTTTCCGCTCTGTATAAATTCACCTTCAGTCTCCCGTGGGCTATCGACACCACGAATGAACATAAACTACCTAAATCGATTAAAACAAACTGACTCGTCTCGGCGCTGCAGTCCTTTCGATCATAAATGCTTGGTCACCATGCCACCTGCACCGCTCGACAGTAGACGTCGTGAGGGAAAAGTGCTACATGCGGACAAATGCAAGCCACATCTGCAGCTACGGTTTTGTAGCTGCAGATTCTTCGTGGCAATCTCCTTTGGCGCTATTAGAACATTCCGTGATTAAATTGATGAGAATGCATCACCATAGGTGGCGATTCATAGGAGGTTTGGGACTCGGGCCCCCAAAAAATTTTGCAGGAGAGGCTCGGTTCCCCCAAACAAATTTGGGAGAAGGGGTTCATCCCCTCAACAATTCAGCCAATAGACCTTCGGCTTGGCTTCCTGACAAAGGGAAAGCTATTTGACCCAGGGAGGCTGAAGGGAAATTTGTGGATTCTCTCTCGGAGAAGAGAAGGGATTTCAATGATGTGAAGATTAAATTCAACAAGCTCAATTGCTGTTTTCTTCCTTTCTTCGTCGTCAGTGCAATTTGCTCAAAGAATGTTGACGATTTCGTTATCGAGAATGAATGACTTCTTTCTCTTTAATAAAACTGTTCACTAGAGGTACGCGAGAGGTGAAAGGGGAATTCAACAACCCTGAAAATGTGACACGTTTCCAAACATGTCATGCGGCAGTTTTCTCAGATCTTTCCCTTAACCTAGTTGATGAATGATGCTATTAAGAGGATTAGCCTTCCCTTTGCTGTCAAGTGCTTCCCCGAAAGTGGGATTTTCCCGATACATGGACTAGGCTGAATCTCCAATTCCCGGGCCATTCTTCAGTGACGAGTCATGCCATTGGTGCCATAGGATAATGGAAATGTTCGTCGTCAAAAACCCCCGGGTAGACCTCACAAGATATGATGAATGTGAAGATTCTTCCAGTTCGTGCAGTCGCTCTAGTGTGGGAGGGGAAAAGTCGTATTCGGTCGAAAAGTTCGTACTCGGTCGAAGGGGACAAAGAAAGGAAATTCCAACAGAAGTGGTGCGAGTGTTATCTCTGGTTATCATTCGAACGTTCGATAGAGAAGGGGCGAGCATTTGAGAAAGTCCTCCTAACGTCCTCAAACAAGAAAGACAGTGCATTTATGGATTGGATTCAATAATTGGAAGAGCTTTGGAAAGGTTTTCCGCTCATGAGAAGACTTGAGTGTCACATACCGAGAGGCATGCACGAAGCTCCATGCACTGTTTTCAGGGGTGAACGTGATGGGTGATATCAGTGTGGCTCATAGGGCCGATCTCCTCCGCGTCAGAACATTAGAGCTTATTTTCATTACTTAGAAGTTACTTGGAAGGCAAGGACGAGCTATCCGTGGTCATGAAGACAATGCAGGAAACTTCTTTTAGATACTGAAAGTGAGGTCCGATTATTGTGAAAAACTGGAGTGGTTGATCCGAGGACATCGTCGCGACAAATGGTTGAGCAAGGATGTACGGAATGAGATTCTTCAAATAATGGTTGATGAGGTCCTGCAAAAAGTAATATCTGAGGTTCATTCATCCAAATGCTTCCCTACAATGATTGACGAAACGAAAGATTGTTCTCATTCCGAGCAAGTCAGAATTTGCTTGCGCTACGTGACGCAGGCGACCTGAATGTGAGCGAACCTTTCATGAAACATACTCTGAAACTCTCTTCTCCTTAGTGAAGGATGCGTGGCTGTGGTTTCACTGAAAATCACTGATTCAGATGAAGCCCTAATCCCTCTGAGAGGGGGAGGGTGGCTTGGGTTGGGGCAGCAAGGACATGAGTACGAGAAGTAGTTGCGAAAGAGTACTTAGTCTCTGAGCCCCTCAGAGACTAAGTACTCTTTCGCAACTACTTCTCGTACAACTACTTCTCGTATTTCTCAACAAATCGCTGTCTGTGCATCACATTGGTGTAACCTGGCTACATTTGGCATGCCCCTGGCTGCAATGTATTTGATTAGCCAGCTTCAGGAAAGGCATATATGCCTTCATAGACGAAGCAAAAAATAAAAGGGAGAAATATAGGTTTAAGCAGTAGAAAAATATATTAATCCTTAAGAGGGTGGGCATATCTTATGCGACTGCTTGAAATCGATGCGAGATGTTATAATGACGAAAATCCCTCTCGACATCCCTACAACTCGACTACGACTCAGCGGACCAATCGGGGATGCACTGGTAACCAAAGTTAGAAAATGTCCGCGCCTGGTAGCGGGCGCTCATCGTTTAGAAGTTGTAATCCATGAAACATTTTTATCCTCTTTTAAAAAGGCAAGATTTAGTAGAGTTCAAGAGTCTTATTTCCTGAAAATCCCATCAATTGGCATGGGATGTCCCTCTAATCAGGAAAATTGTTCAAAGTGTGAACGAAAAAGGTATCTCAGGATCTGGTATTGATCTTTGGATCAATCTCGCCAAGAGTAAAGAGCATTCTCAGATGTATCCTCAAATCATGTTCCAGTAATCTTTCAGACTAGGCTTCAATGGGGAATATAGGGATGGATGGATGGACAATGGATATGGTGCTCACAAGACGTAGAATAATCAGGTCGCCAATATTTCTGATTAAGTATGTGGTTTTGAAGCAGTATGACCTAGTTAGTGAAATAGATCCAAAGGGAAATCACCTTATACGAGGGATTTCTCAAAAGTTCTGCCAGTAGCCCCAAAGTAGCACTTTGCGGCCGCTTCGATGACGACTTGTGGGCTACTGGCAGAACTTTTGAGAAATCCCTCGTATGTTGAATTTGAGGGTGCAACCTTGGTTGAAGGTATTACACCCAGGCTTAACTTAAGAAGCTAAGACCTATTTCTAGGCCTAAACTTGATATCCTGTCGTATAGTTTGACCTCATGACAGGTTAGGAAGCTAATGCATTTATCTCACAGGATCATATAAGAGGACATTCCTTTATCTGCAATACAAAGAATGTCAGTCAATTGGGATTTGTCCAGCAAAGTTTATGTTGGAAATCTGGCCAGAGGCACATCAAAGTATGACTTGGAGGATGTCTTTCGCAAGTATGGTCCAATGAAGAATGTTTGGGTCGCCAGGAGCCCACCAGGGTTTGCTTTTGTCCAGTTTGAAGACCCACGTGATGCTGAAGATGCTGTTCGTGGTTTGGATGGCATGTAAGTTGGTTCTTATCCCTGAAATATTTTTTATTTGAAGGCCTAAACTTCAACTTTGTACACAAGATAGGCCCAGGCTTATGTTGTGATTTGTGAATTGATGCAATTGATAGCACAGCACAATGTGCTGTTATTGCAGCAAACAAGGCCAAAATTTAACTTCCATCTAATGTGTCATGCATTGATTACTGTATCATTCTGTTTTGATGGTGAGATTTTTCTGTCTAGTTGGAAACTTCACAAACTGTTTGTTTGTGGAAGTGTTGGTTCAAGAGGCTTCATATCCTTGTGTGGGAGGGTTCTCTCATTGGTGTGGCATTTTGCTAGAGTGCTGGTTTCATTATCTTGGATGAGGTCTCTAATGGTCACTTGATTCCATTGAGAGAATGGCAAAAGGAAGCAGAGAATTTCCAATAAATAGGTTCTGCTTTGTTGCACTTTGAAAAAAACCATGGCATACAATAGTCATTTATTATCAGCCTGGACTCTGTCTGGGATATATTATCCTGGCTTTTTCAAGATTCCTCATCAGTGAGGATACTTTTGCTTCCTGTGACAGGCGCCTTAGAGGGAACCGGATTCGTGTGGAAATGTCACATGGTCGTAGGCGGGGAGACTCTCCTGCTTCCCGCCGGGACAGATATGACAGCCCATATCGAGGAGCCAGGAAGAGGTCCAGGTGGGCCTAATTTTCATGTTACATCTTGTTTTCATTTTGGGAAATTTTAGGGCATTAGAGGCTGGAGTACCTTCAGTATGAAGCTTAATTGAGGGACTGGAAGAAAGCTGGGAGAACTCCAAGGAGTTCATTGGTTTGCATTAAAAATTTGTTTTTGAAACTCCACAGGGAATGAACAACTATCTTCAATGAGAGGAAGAAGAATCTATTGGTATATTGACCAACAATCAGTTTTCCTTTCAGCTTATAATCCTTTTGCGGGCCATGTGAATCATACTTCCCACCCACAAAGTTTTATTAATGCTTTGGGAAACTTGCTTCCTGCTGATACTGGTTGATAATGTTGGGAATTCAGTATCAGTCATGATTTGTCCCTTTTCCCACAAAATATATTGATAGAATGTTTATGTGTAATTTATTTAATAGATAAAGAAAGCATAGGAAGATATACAATATTTCCTAGATAAAGATGGCCTGCAAAGGGGTTATCCTTGACCCTAGGAGCTTGCTTTTTAACCATCCATATGAAGGAATTTACATTCTTTATCACAATTACAGCAGGTCCATGCAATTCCTGAAGATTGATTTCTCTGGAATCCCCAATGAGAGATCAAGTTGAGGGAAAACAACAATTATTGATGAATTTATCTGATTGGAAAGAAAGTTCTCGGAATTTCATGAACAATTATTACAACCCAGTTTATTTAAAAGCAAAATCATCTCAATCATGAATGTAATCACCATTGGCCTCTATCACTTCACGCCAACGTTTATGCAAACTATGGATGCCATTCCAATAGAACTCTGGCGGCTGCGCTACGAAAAAGTTGGCCAAATCGGTTTTCAGGTCGTCTTGGTTGGCGTACTGCTTTCCACCCATGTGACGGTCCAGGGCAACGAAAAGGTGATAATCGGACGGGGCAAGGTCGGGGCTGTAGGGCGGATGCGGCAGCACCTCCCAGCACAGGTCCAGTAACTTTAGATGAGTCTGTCTAGCGGTGTGCGGCCGGGCATCGTCGTGGAGGAGGATGGTTCTCTGTCTTTCTGGGCGTGTTTCAGCCAGTTTCTGCTGCAGCCGATCGAGTTGCTGGCAGTAGTAGGCAGCAGTGATGGTGGTGTTTTGCGGCAACAGCTCAAACATGATGATGCCTTTCGAATCCCAGAAGACCGAGAGCATAATCTTTTTGGGGTGCAACTCCTGACGGGGTTCTCTTTCGGCCGATGCTCCGGCGTCCACCCACTGACGTTTTCGTCGAATGTTGGCATAGAAGGTCCACTTTTCGTCGCCTGTCACCACTGAGTCTAGCCAATCCGTTCGGCGCGAACGTGACAGAAGGGAGATGGCCATGTCTACTCGTCGCTGGCGGTCCCGATCATCCAGCTTGTGGGGTACCCAGCACCCCAACTTTGCCTTCTTGCCAAGCTCAGCCAGATGATGAAGGATAGTTGTATGGGAGACACCCAGCAAGTCCGCAAGCTCTCGCGATGTTTGCCGGTTGTTGGCCTCCAGTGCCTCCTGCAAGGCAGAGTTATCAAACTCCGAAGGACGACCGGTGCGTGGCTGGTCTTCCAGGCTTTCATTTCCTTTCTGGAAGCGACTGTACCAATCATAGGCAGTGCTCTTGGACACAGTGTCCGGGCCAAACGCGGTATTGATGTCAGCGATGGAATTGGCTGCCTTCTTCTTGATTCGGAAGTCATAAAGAAGAAGCAGGCGAACTTGCTCCTTAGTAAGAGGGTAGGGCTGGTTCATGGCTGGAGAGCACCAGGGCTGCAATAATATACGGTTGTATGCCGAAGGACACGACCTACTTATAAACACACGCAGAACATTCTAGCATGCTCTGGGAAAAAATTGTACTGGATATTCAAGAAATTCCGAGAACTTTCTTTCCAATCAGATATGTGTATAAATGGCAGTGGAAGATAGAGGTAACTTTGAAGTCCAGATATGATAGTTCTCATTGAATTATCATATGGAATTCAAGAAATATATAAATTGTACAGGAACTGTTTCCCTCTGCTGCTATTCGTTTGCTTAGATATTAGGGTTTTGTCTAATTAAAATACCTTTAGGAACTATACTGGAGAATTTAATAAAAAATGAAATAGGCAAAATGCAGAACATTGAATAGTATTTCATTCATTTTTTCATCCTTAGGGTATCAATGAATCATGAGGCCTACATTTTAAACTTTGATTTAGACATAGGGGCATGTACAGGCATCAGTATTAATTGTATGAATTGGTCACATGCCTTTATAGCATGCAAAGCTGTAGATATAAGTTATCATACTCATGATAACTATATCTCTGTCTTTAAAGATTTTCCCCATCCTATCATATTTACACCTTGAGTGCAACAAGAGCACCTTGGTGTATGGAATTACTATGCTAGTGAAATTTAATCAGTAAATCAGCATGTATAACTGGGAAATAGTACAATGATGAACTGGAAGTATGTTGATAATAGTAGTGAAGGTTTGTTGCATCCCAATCCAACTAATAGAGAAAAAGTCACTCTCTTTTATTCTTCACCTGACTTGTGATAATAACTCTTCCTCTTCATTCAGTGAATCCAGTTGAATTAGATCCTGTGAATTTTTGAAGATTTTCATCTTGTCTGTATGCTGTCGAATATTTTTTCATTTTGGAGGCAGGATTACCTGAAGCAGGATTTCTTGAAAAACACTTCTGGAAAAGTTATGAAAGTAGCACTTTGTGTTAGCATTTTTTAAAGCAAACTAACAAATTTTGACTATTTTATATTGTGAACATGGAGTATTGCTACTATATTGAAAACAAAACTCCATGGGAGGATGAAAGCTGGTAGCTAGGCATTAGAAACCATAACTTCCTTTAGATGACCCAAGGATATAGAACAGGTGTAGGCCTGTGGCACATGATGGGAAAAGGAGTGCCATTGATTGTGATTAAATTGTGACTACCATACTTCATGTACTGCATTACCCTAAACCTATTGTAATATCCTCTTATAAATGTGTGCTAACATAATAAAATGGAAAATCCCCACTTTGATGATATACTGGATGAGGCAAAAAAAAAACCCACTGCTCTTTGAAATTCTTTGGAGTTCATGCAGAGAGCACAGCAGATTTTTTTGCAGTGACTTCTGTGTGTCCTTTAAACATAATAAAATTCTTGTTCATTTTTCTCCAGCCATTTGAGAACAGGAGCAAAATCGCCAAGTCAACTCAAATTTTATTTTGGCGCAGTAAAGTGTTAAGGCAGAAAAGTAGGTGGTGCACATGGAGCACACTTTATCTTCTTTTCTCTTCTTGGGCGTCTTGCGCCAGAGCTTCGCTGTCTATTCATAAAAATGCTGCACTTTGTGAGAAAATGTGGAGGGGCAGAATTTTGCAAGAATACTTTCATAATTTCCTGGGAAATAATGGAAAAAATGTAGGCATATCATGAAGACATTGATTCAGAAGCTGTGGGAAACCAGTTCATTTGAGAGAAAGGGAAAGAGCAGAAGTCTTAAACTTGTCAGCACTGAAGAGAGCTGTGTTCATGTAGAGGAGGTCATTGTTTTTCAAGATAATAAAACTGGTACATCAATCTTACTGCTGCAAATTGCCATATGTAAGGATGAGTCAGAGATCTGCTCAGTGAATTCTGAAGTGCAGAGGGAAAAAATCCTTGGAAAGAGTTGTCATTCCTAGTGAGTTAGCCAGCTCCTCCTGTCAGTGTCCAGTTGCTTTTGTAAAGTCATTCTTGTGCTTAAACGGCTTGAGATAAATGGGCCAACATTTTTGGATGCTTGAAGGATGCATAGAGTTATGTATGATATAAGCTTCATTGTTTTAGTATATGTTTCAGAGGCATCACTAATTTTCAAAGAGCTGCACGTTTTTTTTTGCCTCTCCTGGTATATTGGATCATGGTGGGCCTACCAGAAAATTCAATGCCAAAACATCATATTTAACAAGGTGAAAATATTCTAAGTAGTTTATGATAGTCAAAGTAACGGGTGATAACTTGCCGCTGTTTACTCATGTGGTTTAAGGCAGGTGATTAAATTTACATTATTGGAGTTCCTCTGTGTGTTCCTTCTGTTGGTGCACCATTGCACGAAGCTACCTTGCATGCCAAATGGAATCTGTTTACTGTTTTTCAGCTAGCCCTATGTGAAGTATAGGGCCAGAGAGAGTTTTTGAGAGATAATTAGAAAAGACAGTTTATTTAATAAAATACTATCAATTCATTCTTCAAGAACATTCTAAAGTTCCATACTGCATATAACTGAAAGTCGTGATATTCTGAAAAACCCAAGAAGCAATTGAACCCAGAAAAATCTTTGTTCAATTGCTTTTTGAGTTTTTCAGGAATTTATAGCTAAGTTGCACAGTGTTCAATGCACTTATCAAAAGGCTGTACATAATGTTAATCTCTCTGTCTTATGTAAACCATAAGAAAAACTGACTTGAATATCTTAGTGATTTTTCCTTGCCTTTATATTTATCATAGATAAGAAGCATGGAAGAATATGTAAGATTCCCCCAAGCATCATATGCATGGAAATGTGGCATATATTTTTAATTGATAGCCAGTTTATACTCTAGTAAAATCCCACACCCATCTGAAGATGAATAAAGGGGGCATAGCTTTGAGTTATTTAGCAGTTGCTGATTTGCAAAGATAGAAGTAACATTCTCAGTAACATTCATTCTCACTTGTATGAAATTCAATTTCCTGGCTTGAAGAGTTGGTGGCTCCTTTCATTGCCATGGCAGTGCTGAAGCTAATGGCTCTGATGTATGTAAGCAGTGTCTCAAAAGTCATGGAATGTCTTGTTCCTAATGAAGGTATTCTTTATCAATCCAGCTGTTATTGCACACTGCAATCATCTGTTTCTTCACCCGTCTCATCGCTCGCGATCGTTCATTCTCAATCTCTAAGCTACCCTCCTCTCATCTCATCGGAGCCTCCTCTCCTAATTCAACACATGCTACCTACTCTACCTCATACCTAGTTAAAATGAGGGAGGTCCCCCAGGCCTTAACTAGGCTGTGGTCGGCTCTGCCTCTCCAGCATCTCAGCACAAACCGGTAACCTCCTCCTCCAGAGACATTGACAGTTTAGACAGAAAGCAAAGATGTTCATTAGTTGTCAAGTGTCAAACAGGTAAGATGTCTTGGTGGTGATTCCCTTAAGCAAAGGGATATTATGGTGATGGGATACTGTTGATTACATGAGGAGGGAACTAGGGCTTTGTTGCTCCATTTTAGTAAACAAATTTTTTTTTTCTTCCTTTGTAGTCCTATTGGTGATCTATGTCAAACTTTGGAAGGAGGGGAGGATTTTTCCCTCATCAAGTGGAAATGGATCAGGGAAGCCCTGGTTTCCTTCTCCATATTAGGAATCATATTTTCTTTCTTATAGATATTACCTATTCAAGCATAATATACCATTGGAAAAAACTGTTGCATGTTCTACCATGCCAGTAATGCAAAGTCACTTCACCCTATGCCATCAATGGAATCATTTAGGTTGTAGAAAGAGGAAGAAGGAGCTTTATAGTTGCAATTATGGAGGGAACAATCTTTCTGGAGCTTTATATATTAACATTCCAAAGGTCTTTCACCATAACAGATGGTTAAGGTGAAGGAACTGAAGCATGATGGTGACAGACATGCCAGATGTCACCTGGTTACCACATGACCTTTTTCCTAAATTCATTGGTTCAGTAGAGGGTGGAGTAAATTTTGTATATCAACATGGGAAGAACCATAACATAAGTTTTTTCCAATGGCACGTCCAACTCTCTCCAGACATAATGATCTTTATGAGTCTGCACCTTGCATTATGCTTAGAAAATGAGAAAGGAAGGTTTCCATGGAGCATAGTTTGTGCAAAGACTTTTCAAATCATATTGCTACTTCAGGATATGCATATTAAAATTGAGATTGTTAATTAACATCTCAATTCAAGCATAATGCTTTGTTACCTGTATTGGTATACTTGTGAAATAAAAAGTGGCATCATTTTCAGGACTCGATCCCCACGACGCTCTCCCTCTTATGGGCCAATGAGATCTCGATCTCGATCTCCACGAATGAAGAGGTGAGTCACTGAAAAATCTTGCAAAAGTAATGTCTTAATAAAAGATGGCATACTTTTTTCTCCCCCTCCAGTGTAAAAAATTGGCACTGTGGAGGGAAAGTTGCATATTCCATTGCTGTTGGATGCATTTTTGGTGTGAATTTTACTTATTGCATGTCCAAGAAGAGTGCCAATATTGTAGGTGCTTTAGGAAAGTTACTATCATTGGGTTTGTGCCATTATGTGGTACATGTAAGGAGGCATGGGATGGATTACCCAATATTATTAGTCAAAGCTTGCATCCCAAACTATGGTGCCAAGAACATTATGTCCTCCAATTCTTATAAATCTTGACTTACCAGTCAAGCCATTTGGCTCTAATTTATTTATCCTGCTGAGAGAAGCATGCATATGAACAAGGCATCCCATGGGATGTAACTTATCTTGCACAACTTTTACCTCAGGCAAAGGGGGAGAGGGATGAACACATGAAGACCCAAATGTTCAATTCTTTTGATTTTGCAGTGATCCACATAGTTAATACTGAAAGATTAAGCTGGTTTTATATACTATGGCCAGTGCCAGTCAACTGAAACAGCAAAACTTGCACCAAAAATTGTACAAATGATGCATCCATGTGACACATTGTGCATAAATCTTAGATACACTGGAGCAGTATTGAAAATTTAATTGGTGCCTCAGCTTGCCTAAGATTACAGGCACTGTAACCTCATGAGGAGAATGACTACCTCAGTTTCCAAGAAATATCAGAGGAATGTGATGGTTTTTGTTTGTGAAGGTGCAAAATCACTTGGTATCCATCATGGAATGGTTGTCATTTATGGTGAGAAATGTTTGTCCTAGAGATGAGTAGATGAATGATGCAAAATGTTTCATGGCAGATGCCTTTATGTTGAGAACATACCTAGATGAACCAATGTCATCATTGCAGATTGCAACATTTTGAAGGTGGATGAGGTGATTAAAGCAAACAGGCACATTTTTCCAGATGCCTGAGCCACTGAAGTGGGAATTAGCCATGGGTCTGTGCACAGAATCATCCAAGATCACCTCCAGTACCATTTGGTGTGTGCCAAACAGATACCAAAGTGCTCAACGAAAGACCTAGAATGCCCATGCAGGTCTTGCATATCTGCAGTGAAACCATGCCATAGAGGACAGGTTTTTGACCAGAATTGTGGCTTGTGCTGAAACTTGGTGTCATAATTTTGACACTGACATCCTATGAGAGAACATTAAGAGGGCAGCAGTACCACTTGGCCAACAATATGGTAGAGGCAGTGAGAACACGATGCCATCAGATGCCGAAGTTCTTTTGACAGTGCCAAAAAAAAAAATTAGGTGAAGTTGTGGGACAAGCATCTCAATTTCCATAGAGAGTGTTTTCAATAAGCACTGCATGCACAACTAATATAGATTAATTGTTGTTTCATTTGGCTGGCCCTAGTATGCAAAAACGATGAGGAACACTTTAATATAGCACTGATACATGATAGGTCAGGATGTAACAGTGCATTTCCAATGCTTTCTGCAGGTCATCACGTTCACTCAGCCGTTCGCCAAGGCGATCTCCCTCCTATGGCAACAGGTCTCATTCCAGATCACCACGTCTCAACAGGTCTCGTTCCAGATCCCCACGCCCAAGGATGAAATATGAATGAGGTGAACAGGTCTGTCTACATTAAGAATCATAATCATGAAATGGAAGCTTTCATTTAAGGGAGGATATTTGCTTGAAAGTTGTAGCAGTTGTTGCTTTATTTCACTGTGACACAGAAGATACCAAGGTTGAACTTGATCCTTGTAAAATTTAATTATTTTGAGGACATTCACTTTTTATTCATAATTTGACTGGTTTCCTGTTTGTGAATATGAGTAAGGACCTGATGTGTTTCTTTGTTATGTTTAACCCAATCTGTTATTGAACTGAATGGGAACATCAACTCCATGCAGTTTTTCAGCTATAGCTTTATTCTTACATGAATTGATGAAAGGTACCACTTGTCTAATGAACAGCTGAAAAAAAATTCAGAAAAGTTTATACAGAAAGAATCCTGCTTCTTTGTAGCTGTCTCCTGCTTCAAGACGAGAGAAGAGACAGGAGGGAGCTGGCATTATCCTGGAATGCTTGAAGTGTTTCTTCTCCCCATCTCAGCTATCTTTCCTCTCTGTCTATGTGAGACAAAATCTCAGTTCAACCTGCTTCACCTCTCAGTATCTGCAATTCCTTGTGTATCTATCACACTGGTTGTAATTTGACATTTGGTGGCAAAATCAATAAAAAAAAATTTATCTCAATTTGGGGAGGACTTGATATGCTTCATAATGTGGTTCTTGAGGAGTGGCATGGTAGGAGGCTGAAAAGAACATTTGTGACACTTGAGATCTTGAGACAGTAACTCCTTGGCTTGGAATGCATTAATTTCTGGCCCTTTCCCTTCTGATTTCACATGGTCTATCACAGCTGCAATAAATAAAAAAATATTGGCCTGAGAAGAGACACACATGTCTAATAGCCAAATAGGCACACTCTATTTCCATCATTTGCTGCAAGTCCATCAACAAACATTTCCAATTGTGCTTTTGCATAATAAATATACATTTTCCTATACCAAGGAAAAGGTTTGGGCAACCTGCACAAATGTCACCTAAAAAGAACCAAGTAACTGAAGTCCACATGATGAAGTAATATTTTCCCTGTTTATTTCATTGAAGGGAATGCTGAGAAATATAGTGCCTCCCTTTTCAGGCTTCTTGCTAAGCCTTTATACAGGGTGGTGCAAAAAAAACTGGTCCACTTTTTAAACTGGTCTAGAACAGGAACTATTGACGCTTACACTTACCCTGTTTCCAAATGTTTCTTTGCTCATTTGTTGGGTGAAACAATTGGACTAAAAGTCCAATTGTTGTAAGATTGCCAAGGCAATTTTGATGTGGAGAGAGAGACTGCAAGCAGTGGTGGACCTTAATAGAAATTGATCGAATAACCGTATTTCGTTTGTTTCGCCAGGAGAATTAAAAACATGGAGAGAGACTGTACATATGGTAAATATTGTTCTGAAGTTAGTGCTTGATTTGTTTAGTGCTTTAAAAGGGGGTATTGGACTAAAAGTCCAATTGTTGTAAGATTGCCAAGGCAATTTTGATGTGATGGACTGCAAGCAGTGGTGGACCAGAAAGGAGGACACAGTGAACATTTCTTGAATATATAAAGGTTAGTTGAGGTGGAACAATCATTTTCCCATCATTTTACTACTTTTTTTGGGGTATGATTTTTTCAATTGGCCATGACAGCCATTCCATGGCACCCATGGACATAAAACCATACATCTTTGGAAAGGGCTTGGATTGAACTTTCATTTGCTTTTTTTTTTGAACCTGCTAGCTTCAATAGTTCCTGTTCTAGACCAGTTTAAAAAGTGGACTTTTTTTTTTGCACCACCCTGTATAGATATAGGCTCAATAACTTGGGACAGTCACACTGAATTGAATGCATACATATTTGGTTTTTCATTGTCCAGCCTTTCCCTTGTTGGGCTTGATATTTATGGGAATGGTTTACAATGCTGATATATTTATTATTATTATCAAATTGCTCATCAATCATGCATGCTTTTCTTCTGTATTCAGTCATAAGCAGAATTGATGTATGCAAGAGTAATCAAGAAGCATAGGTGTAGCCAGAATTTTTCGTCACCATTCAGCTTGATTGTTCCATTTTGATTCATTGCACACCTCCAGTGGAGGAAGCAAGAGTTCCATGTGGTAGCCCCACTTTAGTCATTGATTAAGCTAGGAGTAGTTGGTTAGAGCCAACAGGTATTGAGACAACAGATGTTGCTCATTGAATGATTTGTTGAACCGTTCATGAAGGATCACCATTGTCGCAAAGGTTGAATATGGCAAATTCAGAATGTAACTCAGTGTAGGGCTGTGCTGTTTGAAAATGTGCTAATTTGCCATGTGTATAGATATCTGTTTTAATTACAAACAAGCTGCTTTTTTTTTATAATATTGCGTTGATCTTGTTTGCCCAAAGTGGATTCTCACTGAAGCACTCTGTGTATTGCAAATGGCCCAAGAGCAAAACTTTTGGAAAACCCCCCTCTGACCCAGTCTATGACTTTGGAAAATTCAATTTAAGTCAATGAGAAGTGAAGCCTCTTTTTCTAATTTTCCATCTTCACAACAATCATCATTTCTTTAGTCCTAGATTGTATGGGAAAGGTGACAATACTTTGATTTTGCTATCGACTTTCATTAGTCAGTTGCAGATCATTTGAGCTTGTCCATATCATTATCATCAGCTAAGGTATATCTGTATCTGTCCACCTCCAGGTTATTGGGATGAATGGAACAGGGAACAAGCTGATGAGAAACCAGATTCCACTCCCAATGTTGATGTTTGCCAGGATGGAGGTGGAAGTCTAAGTCAGCAGGTGGCTGCCATTGCTTTGGAGGAGCCAGTAAGTACTCCCTCTCTTGTTCTACTTACTAAAATATGCCCATAATTGAATGCCTGCATTTTATAGATACCAATCTAGGTCATGGGTTTAAGAGGACCCCTGTAATAATTCCAGTGTGTCATTCAAATCACTAATGTTTTAGGAAATAATTCCATCTCCTATGGGCCTCATTCATGCAAGGAAATCCAGGGCACTGTCTGATTTTAGTGAAGCACTTTGCATCGATTTAATTTTCACCTGATCTATCATATCAACCCCCTTAGTGCCCCTTGCAGGTGGTCTGTTGAACCGAGAGAAGTTGCATTGCTCCCTTCTGTGCTCATGTCAGACTAATACATTCATTACTATTTGCTGCTAAAAAAAAATTTCCTTTCAATTTCCTATAGACAGGGGTTTCTTTCCTGCTCTCCATCATTGGATGGTTTAATCATGTTACATGGTCAGGATTTTATTACTCCTGGTTTATGGATCCTGGATATCCTGGAGGATCATGTAAAACAGTGTAATAAAAACTTTTCTTATAACTAGGAACCTGAATGCACTGTGTGTGTTGAAGTATGAGGTGTACTCTCAAAGAAGACATATTTGCAATAAAAATTACAAAGACAGAAGTTTGCTTACTATGTAAGATCAATGTGTTGGTCATTTCTCAGCATAACTACCATTTGCGGTTATCAGTTTTAGCCAGCTTTGTGCCATCTTGAGCATACTGTGCTCACAAATCTTTTGTGGGGTGTTTTAGACACATATCACTGCAGCTGCCATCAACACTCTCATGATGTTTTCCATGCAAAACATGTTTCATTATGCTGAACAAATGAAAATCAGGGGCCAAATTGTAGCTCATTAAGAATGTGACAATTAAGAAAGCACCATGCCAGTTATAACTTCTTGGATTCATAATTCTTTATAACACTTTAATGAGTAGGGCATGTTCCAGATGGTACCATGCTGGCAAAGATGAATTGCCTAAATGTTGACTGCATTATGATTTAACCTACATATTGGCCCTACATTGTGCAGTCTTAGTCAATTTCTATTGTTGTTAGTTTACTATTAAAAATCTAATTCTCATTGCTCAGGGAGCACCCCTTATATATTGGGTCATACTCCTTCCATGAAGGAACCCATATAACATCATGGTGCAAAAGAAAGTGGTCATACTTTATGCTTGCAACTCCGGATGAATAGTACCAGTAGATGGTAACCAGTGCCAATTTTGACATTGGGCTAAATGTGTTGGGCATAACTATTATTGCACATTAATGTGGTAATTGACTTTTTCTTGGGAAGAAGTGGTGCTAACTGCTTCTTTCATAGGTTAGAGGCATCCATTCATCCCTAATACTTTCTGTCCAGAAAGTAATGACAATTGTTTGTATTGTTGCGTTTCTGCAAGTCGAATCGGGAAATCTCCCATAGACGGCTGATTGCCATACATATTTGCCAAAAAGATTTGGCAGGTGGGTAATGGAACACGATTGCAGTCTAATGGATATATGGACCAGGTTTATTCAGAGACTACTGATGACTACAGGCTGTATGAGATTCAGGGGGCTGCCCGAGAGGTACAAATCTTCTTGTAAAGATGCGAAGTCCAAACGACGTCTTGCTGTTCTCCAATGCTTCCGCACCTCCGGGTCTCGGGGGATGAGGAGGCAGGAGGCATATATACAAACCCTCCTCGATTTCGGCACTCACAGGCAAGGGGTGAAGGCGCGTGAAAGTGCATGAACGCGGACGCATGCCTACACCAGTTTACCACAGCCCTCTTTTGGCCCATGAAGAGTTTGCCACTCTCCGCGCGATTTCGTTAACAATGGTATCCAAACTTGCAGATTAATACAATTTTGCTTGGCCCAGGTTTGTTAATTTGGCGATAAAGGCAGGAGTCCTGTCCCGGTTCAGTTGCTGCAACGAAATTTCAGGTAGAATCGAGCTCTACTCAAATGGGTGCCAGCCTCAAGTGAGGAGTCGATTAACCGTGGAAATTCTAATGTCTGCAGACACCTAGGTCCAGAGACCTTCCTATCCATAAGGGAAAGGGATTACCGGTGCTACAATCTGGTAGCACTTCCACTCGAGGTTTCGATCAGCGATCAAACCGAGCCGACCAGTTGATTAACGACTGAAATTCTTCTGCCGTCTGGAGATACCAAGGTCCAGAGGGAGTCGTGGATCCTACATCGTCATTTACGTCCTGGCTCGAGGTTTGAGTGGAGGTCAAACCGAGCAGGTGGTACGTACACTGACAACAGAGCTCGAGGTTCGTGACCCGCTGACAGATTGGCGGCCGTTTACTCGCAAATGGAGCAGCCAGCGCCTTCTGAGCCGTTCCACGTCCTTTATGGGTGGATCCACGAATCCTCGGGTCAACCGAGCTCTGGAGGAGTCGTCCAGCCGCAGACTCTTGGCAGGCTCAAAAGCTTAGAGAGAGAGCTCCTAGCTCGATTGCCTGTTTCGTGCAAGTGACCGACTGCCTCCCCTCGAACTGAACAGTTTTTATACCTGGGAGGAGACCATAAAGTTGGGTCATTTGTGACCGTTGCAAAGAATTTGTCAACAAGAAAAGCAGGGGGGGGGGGGGGGATAAGACATGCTTATTAAGAGGCTCCCATATATCCACATTTCATTTTAGCTATAGTATGTTTGTAATTAAACAAGCAATGCACTTCTCACTGTTCATGCATTCAGATCAATAGGTAATCTCTGTGCTTTCTGATTTTCAAGTTGGTACATTGAGAAGTGCTTACAGAGCAGACCTCAAAAGACTATAAGCCTAGTGCAATGCGAGCTGTTCTCAACAATTTGGATATGATTATACGTGCTGAGAACTTTTGCTTCTTCGTATTCACACGACTCTAAGTTGGCATTGCAGCCATTGCCTGTCATATGGAACACGTTTGTTGCAAAGGGTCTTGTTGAGCTTGTTGAAGAAAGCCATCATGCCCTCATGGGAAAACATGCCCCCGTATGTGCTTGACACTTTTGGTGCGAATTGCTTTGTTGCCCTTGGTCAGTTGGTGCAGTACCCAAACTGATGCCACGTTGCACAGTTGCAGGTCTTGTGTGAGCACCTCATGGATCTCTTGCCAATGGGCATGTCTTTTTCTCCAGCCGCTAGCAGCTGCTAGCAGCTGCTAGCGAAAAAGACGCGTTGGCTAGGCACGACCACGTCATTGAATGACGTCACTCTTGGGCAAGCTGCTGGCAGCAGAACATAGCGAACTATGGGAGCGCTGAGCAGCTCAGCCCTAACNTTGGGCAAGCAGCCGGCAGCGGAACATAGCGAACTATGGGAGCGCTGAGCAGCTCAGCCCTAACATGACGTCATGGGATGCTGGAGGCCTCAGCAGAGCTAGCTGAGCCGCTGAGAAAAAAGACACGCCCAATGTTGAGCCACTTGGCCAGCTCTCATATAGCTCTCATGGCTCTCGTGTAGTCACTCAGCAGTCCTCATCTACCAGCTCTGGTGTCTCTGTGGGGCTGGTCAAGAAAGGAAAGCTCCTCATCCTTTTCAGCTGCTGAACCACCAGAAGACAGTAGACTTGTCTGGGGGGCCATTGCCGTGTGAACGCATTGAAGCAAAAATTATCAGCCATTGTAACCATACCCAAATGTTGAAAACAGCTTGCGTTGCAATGAGCTTTTAAATTGTCTTTTGAGGTCTACTCTGTAAGCATCCTTCTCAACGGATCAACTTGAAAACTGGCAATCACAGAGATTACCAATTAATCTGAATGTCTGAACAGTGAGAAGCACATAGTTTGTATAGTTACAAACTTACAAATGGTTCTCAATACTTTCCAGGCACTCAAATTAGTCATTCTATGTAGTTGCTTTTCTTGTCATTTACCCAGGATTCACATTAAGGTACGAAGGGAAGATGAAAATCGACCCCCCTAGAATCCAATTCTGGCTTATAATTATTGTAGAGGACCCCAAGGGAGGGCCTTGAAGCCACTTTTTGGCACTCTCAGGTCAACCACCTGACCGTGGCGAATGNCCTTGAAGCCACTTTTTGGCACTCTCAGGTCAAGCACCTGACCGTGGCGAATGGTCAAAGGTCACGATTTGCATGCCTCTCTTTGAAAATCTGTATCTCCCCAACCCTTGGTCGCAGAAACGTCAAATTTGCGCCATTTTCCTTGCCACAGAACATGTTAAATTACGAGCCATAAATTTTGCTCATCTCTCTGCTTCCCGAGACGCCTCCTAGTTATTTTTCACAAATGCAAACGTAGTTCAACGCAGTAACTAGATTATTCCTTTCCAGAAAACTTTCTCTAGCTCTGCCAGGCAATTTTTTTCGGGCACAGAAGCCTACTTATATGTAGGCTATGAGATGGCTATGAGATGTAAATAGGTCATCGGCCCACCAGGCTAAGGTGGCTTTCGGTACAGCCTTAGTTATATGAATCTAGAATGTGGAATAGAAAATGAATAGAAACGATGAATTCATTCATCGTTTCTATTTGTTGTGGTTCACCGTTTCCACTTCCAATAGGCTGACGTGGGATATTAACAAAAAGTGAAATAAAAAAAAGATGAGGAATGCTTATTCATGGCAGTTATTTATATCAGCATTTATTCAGTAATTCGAAGAAAATTACGATTTTATTTTTTGCATTTTGAATGAAACCTTGTCTTTCGTTAGCTTATTGCTTGAATTCAAGGAGCGGAGACCTCGTCGATGAAAATTATAAACGTAGCATGGATGAAAAAGTGTGTATGGGGGAAAACTCTGCGATATCATGCATTTCTGGAGTCTTTTTCCTTTTATTTTTTATTTCTGTTCTTGAGAAGTTGGGGCGGTGGGGGGCCACGTGCCCCCTCTCCCCTGGCTCTCTCGACAATACGCTGCTGATGAAAATAGAAAGAAAAGCAGTGGTATAAACTTGAGTCAGCAGCAGACCCAGCGCGGGAAAATGCGGGGTCCCCTGCGGCTAAGGCCACCTCTGGGTTCCGAAGATTTGCCCCTCACTTCATTTTCGATTATCAAAGTTATATTAGGAAAAAATGAAAAAAACCACTACATTTTTATTAAGCAAGGAAGGAGAGGAATTTTTGTAGGTTGTCCAAAGTTTTAGCGTTCGTATTCTTGGAACCTTTGCCACCAGCTCATCTATCACTTTCTTGTGATTCAACGACCTGCTGAACTCCCTCTCGATAGAGTATGGCTTGTCCTGTCGGGCGTTCTTGTGACATGCTTGATAAGTTATAAATTGTTTCATTTTGGAGAAGCTTCCTTCTGCAGATGCAACTCTCACAGGAGCTGTGAGCAGCATTCCAAGAACAATGGACACGTTANTTGATAAGTTATAAATTGTTTCATTTTGGAGAAGCTTCTTTCTGCAGATGCAACTCTCACAGGAGCTGTGAGCAGCATTCCAAGAACAATGGACACGTAAGGATACACGGGCCTGACTACTCTTGTGAATGAATCACGGAGTTCCAAGAGCATCAAGTGGCTCTGGTCGAAGCGTAGCCAGACTGCGAAGCTCATCGACAAGGTCGTTGATCTATAGAGGTTAACCTTGGCAAAAGGTATCTAAACATTGCACAGGTACCATCGACGATTAGGATTGTCACCCGTTCATAAATAGTATTGATAGTACATATTTCAGACACTTCGTAGATACTGCAAACTGGTCTAAATATGGACACTGTTTTGTCCATATTATAAACTTACGTGACCACACCCGCGTCCCGTGGGAACCGCTTCGCTGGTAACAACGTTTCAACGGACATCAATAACTCAGGTCTAATTTGTAATTAACAGTAAGAGAAAATAAATTAATAAAGGGATAACGTTCGAATTTCTAAAGGCCACACTTGAGATGAATAATAGGGGATGCCTCACGTTATCAGGGAACCCTCAACTGGATGTATGCAAATTCTGTCATACCCGCCTTGTAGCATTCAAGTGAAGCGCGTAGTTGAAGTTTCGAACACCCAGGTATTGGATAAAAAGACGTGGACATTCTGGAGCAGGGATGTTCCAAGGCTCGCCCAGGCCATTGCGTCTGCTAGCTGTGCTCTTACCTTCCCGTGCATGCGCACTATTCGAGTCAAGTTTGCTTACGACTTTTTGGCTTAGTCTTTGTTGTTGAGGCTCTGGCAAGTTTTGTGGACCTCATCAATTTTTTCCCTCAAGTTCGGTCAGAGGCCTAAGTCAACCTATTCTGTGGAATGATGGGTGAGTTGGGTCAGTAAGGGTAGCCGTCTTTGACCACGATTATTTTCTAATCCAACTGACCCATCATCCTACAAAATAGGTTCACTTTCTTGCGCTTTCGGCCAAACATAGAAGGAATGTGGCTCGCTTGATGTGCCTTCTTCCTGTTTTCTTTGAGGTTAGTTAGTGCATATAGCAAAAGCGCAAAATCACTGCGTGAAAAAGTTCGAGAGTTGAGTTTTTCTTTGGGGCATATTTCATGAGGACCGAAGGTAGGGAAGGCTGCTGGGACTGAACGAAAGAAGACCTAGGAGACGACCAGGGCTTGAACCTGAGCCTCCTGTTACTCGGTCCAGTGCGATACCATTACACCACAGAACACAGCACATACGCTCAATTCCCTATCACCGCACATATAAGGGTTTCTGTTCCAACGAAAACCAGCAGTCTCGCCCTCCGTTCAACGTGACTACACATTAAAATTACTACTTCCTTTCTCGTCCTTCGCAGCTAAAGTACACACCAACGCAATTGGCTCAAGAGCTTGCGATTGATGTATTACAGGCACCATTCGACGGGTCGGGAAGTCTTTCCCTCATGGATAATTGTTAATTAGCAGTATGGAAAAATGCAATTAGCAATCAGATGTAAAGGGCATCGTTGAAATCGAAGAGACTGCCTAGTCCGATCCAAGAGAGGGCACGAAAAAGGTAGCATCAAGGAAATAAAATAATTAACTTTTTAATTAATGAATAAATTAACACATTGGTATTTTTTGTGCAAGGTTTTAGACCATGACAATCAATTTGAGACCACTCTCACCATCACACGATTCCTCCTTCATGGTTAGGTGATTCGGTAAACGGCGTATTATATATTGAATATTTACATATTCCTGTGTCCACATTTTGTTTAGTTCAAATGTGGCAACCCTATCAATGACTCGAGGATTTCATGCGGGAAGGGTGGAGGAATTAAAATTAAAATCTAAATCTAAATCTAAAATATTCTTTCCATGCATTTGGTGGCAGATTTCGCCCAGCTCGGCCTTCTCGCCTGTCCAGAGTAGGAAGATATAGGTATATTCGTCTCATTCAGAGCTTGAATCTCATTCGGAATAACTAGCGGCGTTTCAACGTTTTTTCTCTTTTGCTTTCGTTCTTCCTATCTTATTATTTATTTCTTCCTCTTGGGGCTGGGGCCCCCTGCGGCCGCAGGGGACGAAGGGGTACTAGCGCCGGCCCTGGTCAGCA